TATACTTTACTTTACTTTACTTTTTCAAAGGAAAATAAGGATAAAGTGCCACCACTATTTCTAACTTTCCGTTCTCGATATCATCGCGGCATCAAGCAGAAACTTTTGATGTACATGTCGAGAAAGAAAGAAAGAGAGAAAGAAGGAAAGAAAAATGGGAGACTTTTCTTTTACGTACTGTTTCCAATCGACAAATTCTTGATATCATTAAAGATATAACGTGATATACGGCACTAGGAATATTGAGACGTTCGCCTACTTCGTTCACTTCTGAAGAAATGTGACACGCATTTTCTGCAACAAGATCAATCACATGTTTGGAAGTAAATTCATCATTATGTGTATCGGAGCTCCACGGTAGTCGTACAACTATAGTCGAACTATGACTACAGTGTAAAAAGATATAAACAGCTTTCATGACAAGAAGTAAAATGCATCATGAGCAATTTTTACAAATTTCAGTCATACGTCTTCGATAACCATCGTGCCGTATCTTTGTTTTACTTTCAGCAGATTTTTTACGCACCATCTGTGACAAAGTTCGTTGATTGAATATTGTTTGCGCAGCAGTGGACAATTGGACCAATCGATGGGGAAATTATTCCCGTTTATGGAGAAATGCTTCACCCCACATAAAGTCATACATATCAAGGAGAAATGGAAAGAACAAATATAAACATATCTTTATCTTCTTCTGTTCCTCTATATGCATTTCAATTCAAGCAGGGATCGTTCCTATTAAGGAGAAATGCTTTTTTACGTAGAAATTGTTCCTATTAAGGAGAAATGATTTTCCAAGAAGTAACGGAAAGAAAAAATTGTCTGAACGAAAATTTCATTCCCTATAGATTAGCACCATTGCTACCCACATATCATCAGACTAAAACGCAAAGTCATCGGTGCTTACCAGAGCTATTAATTTAACTTTCTTCTTCTCTTATATTAAAGAAAACATGTGAGTGAATATTTACACTTATAGAATAAAGTTACATCACTGGAAACGTTTGTATTGTTTAATCATCAGACACAAATTCTTTATCTGATAAAATAAAGATAAGCGAATTCTTTCTTTTTTAAACGCTATAGATCAATTAAATAATCAAGGGAGATTTCTTTTTCTGAAATTTTTCACTTTTATTTTGATACGGATGGCTCAAGAACACTGCAGTACCACACATGCAAACGAAGTATACACACAAGGTTTTATCCACACATCTTTTCATATCTCATTCACATATTTCAATAGCATCACATACCAAACTACATCCAATGGAAAGCAAGAAATTTGATAAACATATCCTGTTCTTATATTAAGTATTTGTCTATCACCTATCATAAAAAGAAATCTTTCCTTCTTCTTTAATTCATCTCTCTTCTTCAAAAATACAGAATCTATTCACCTTTCTTTCGACAACATAAAGATTCCATTGCATTTTATATTTACAAATTAAACATTTCATTTTGTTACAGGCACCACCTTTCACTTTATTCACACTTCACCTAGATCATTTCATTCTGTTTCTTATTTTTCTTTTCTAATATCATTCGTGATTGCACCCACTTTTTCCTTGGTTATACATCCGGGATCATGTCTTTCTTTCTTTGATATATCTCTTCTTTCATGTCGCCAGCCCGATATATATGTTAAACACGTTAAGCGAACGATGTTGTGTAGTGTCCCTGGAAGGTCGACCGAACATATCTATCTATGCATTTTTCTTCTTCCATATTTTCCTCCAATAAACATTCATCCTAAGGCATTCCTCTAACACATTTATCTTTATCTGCAAGCTATAAATAATCGATTTCAATTTTTCTTCAAAAATTAAATTTCAAAAACACATCACCAATGCACGACAGCTATCTACCTTTCTATTAGTGACAGCACGAAAGCCGGACTACTTCTCACATAAAACACACTCCTTCGAAACAAACTCATTCTTCCTACAACTTCACATTAGGCAGGAAGGAAAAACACGATTTCTACCTACTTAGGACTTTTTCCCTTCTACTTCTAAAGGTAACAATCAATGAATAATTTCTTCTTGAAAATTTTATATTTCTGCGAAAAAAATCCATTTCTACTAAAAACTCTCCATGGACTGAAAAAGGAATATGATCGATATCTCTCTAACCCTTTTTGACTTTTCCTTGTGAAGCGAGAAATTGATGAACAATTTCTCCTCGAAAATTTCAGATTTCTATTGAAAAAAATCCATTTCTACTAGAAAGTGTCCTTAGAGTGGAAAAGGAATATCATCGATATCTCTCTAAGTTCTTTCGACTTCTCCTTGTGAAGAGAGAAATGGATCAAGAATTTCTGCTTGAAAAATGGAGCGACGTAACGGCTGCGGTTGTTTTTATAGAGAATTTCGTCTTATCTTTGTGGGGAGTGAAGCATTTCTGCTGGAAATGGGACAATTTTTCGATTTTGGGGGATATTGTCTAGCCCTCTGTTTGCACAAGTATTTCAACGAAGTTTTGTGTGGTCTTTCAGTAACTTGTAGACTTTAGATACGAGATTGGAGAATGGTAAGTTTAACAATGAAATATCAAATTTCTCAAAACTTGGTGAGAAATTCAATCAACAAGTACCTGTCGATACAGAATCTCATGATAACTAAGTGACGACAAATCCAATTAAGTGGAGTACTCAAAGTATCAAATACTTCATGATTCTCAAAAACTGGTTCTGTGTGAATTCTCTTTTTTTTAGATTGAAACATCGTAATCATTTGTATATAACTTGTTCTTCAAATATATATATATATAAAATGATCAATCAAATAGAAGTACTAGAGGAATCTTCGATAAAAAAAAAAAAGAACGTTGATATTCTCAATGTCGTATTTCCCGAACGGTTATAATAAACAACATGAATAATAGTCTCTCATAGTGTTCTGTTAATTAACAAGAAGAACGTCAGAAGCTATCCATTTGATGAATTATTACTACTACTAGCAATAATTAATTCATGCTAGGATTACCCACTAGTTGCGCTTTATTATATCTACATAATGAAGACAGAATCCACAGGTTGTTTATAGTATTTGGATTTTACCTTGGGTGAACAAAATGTCATATTGAAAATCAAATAATATTTTAATTATATAGAGGCCTCGAGTTCTCTAATAATGTTTCAACGAGCATCATGTGATTTGCTGTTCTCGAGACTACCGCTTCGCAGAATTATGAACTTTGGATGCAGAATTCAAGAAACACAAAAAAAAATACCTAACTGATCACTATGAGATTGTTCTCACTTTAACCCTTTGACGGCGAAGCCCGTAAATTTACGTTTTCAACATTTGATTAGAGGGCGAAGCCGAAATAAAGTAAAACAAGCCTTTTCAATATTTGTTGCGTTCAGATATAGATGCCATTGATAGTAACATTGCACCTTTAAATCAAATGTAAGTGCTCTTTGTTCTTTCTTCCTCGTCTCTTTTCATGTCTAACAGTTTATACATATAAGAGTACGCAAAACGTAGTGGTGATAGTACAAAAGAACATACAGAAGCAAGTTTATCAAGCTTTTATGTCATCCAATACTCGAAGTAAGCCTCTTGGTTATTCGTAGACAATTGTAATCGTTGAATCTTTTTAGCGAACGTTTTTTTATACTCTTATTTATTCAAAGAGCTCATGAAGGTAGTTATAGCACGATGTAGCGATTCTGAATCGTTTTGATTGCTTAGATTGTGTTTGATTAAGTCGAATAACCAAAAATTACACGATATCAGATTCAGAGAATTAGGTGGATGTGACGTTATGAATATACCTTCGGATTCAGTATGAACTAATGTAACCGTCACACATCATAATCAGACAGATCTTCTTGAAATTTTATTATTATAATATTAGTTGAAGTAGGATGTCACAGCGTAGAAAAATAGAGCGTCTATTCTACTATCAGTCCATATAAAAAGAAAGTTTCATTAGACTTTGTGTAAGGAATTAAAGCATCTCCGCCACTACTTTTGGATTGCACTAAGTATATAGATAGACAAGAGAGAGTAAAAAGAAACGATAATAATTATTTTGGATTTTTTTCTCGTTTTTGTTCGATCAAATCGTAAAAAACAATATGACAATATGAAAAGAACTTTGGAAGTCCTATTTAGAAACAAACAGAGTCAAATTGAATTCGATTGTCGATCGAATCTATTCGCGAAGCAATCGAATCTTCAACAAAAAAATCTACGTTACAGTAGAAGTTTTCTAGTTCTTGAATTCTCAACGCGTCTAAAAAGTAATAAAAAAAGTGCACCATACCGTTGAATATTGCAATACTTTGTGGCCTCAGTGTTCTCATCTTCTTATTTTCTTTAAAACATCTGCTTTCTATCTTTCTGGCAAATAGAAGATTCCTCATACACAATGAATAGAACATTTTTCTCAATTTAGACATAAAAACTAGTTGTCCCCTAGTCGATTTAATTGTAGATTGTTGAACAATCAGCATATACGATTGTCAAACCATACCAAATGATAATCATTATTCTGCGAAAAGCATGACATGTTGAAAGCTTAATATCTAGATGCAATCATGAATGTCACATAATCAGAGATACCCGTGGGATATGCTCCTTATGACATTATACGCCTAAGTCGCCTTCAAGAATACATCATATTTAATAAGATGCATTTTTTCGACGGTATAAATAATGCGCATAGTTGACAACCAGAACAAAACTAAAAGTCGACACAAAGTTGAGTAGTCATTTCTGTTTTTATTTTCTATCGATTGATTTTGTCGAAACTATTGATTTTCATTGTTCTCGTTAGGTCGTGAGTTAAAAATTAGTACTCTTTCTCGTCCATCTGAGTAGGATGCCTGTCTGAATAAAAGAAAATGCATAGTTCGAGTCCTGCAAAGAAATTGTCTTTTTCTCCTTGCAAGTACTTCTTTTCTTATCAAAGATATTTGGCGTGTGATGTAATTTTTCTATTCACATAGATCACTTATACTCGAAAACGAAGAAGGTTATCATTGAACAATGGAATACATGGATTCTTTTATATCTAATCCTGTTCGCTTTTGGTTATTTCTAACAGCTCTTATTCCATCTGTTGGCTGTTCCATTGCTATCCTTTATTACATGCTTTCTAGTCAAACTCGACGTCGTGCCATTAACAATCATGTTATTATTGTTCTTTTATTCAATAATTTGATCTATGAACTTATAGATATTTCATTATTTCTTAACTATTATCGTTTAGACACTGTATCACCTGCAACACAAAGTTTATGTTTAATGTGGATATTTATTGATGAAACATTGTATACTGTTTCAACAATAGTTGTTGCTTGGGCATCAATTGAACGACATATACTTATCTTTCATAGTCAATGGTTATCTAGTAGCAGAAGACGTTTTCTTATTCATTACGCTCCGTTGGCATTACTCGTATCTTATATCATTTTGTTTCATTTTGTTATCATCATATTTCCACCATGTGAAAATACGTATGATTATACACAAGAAATATGTGGCCATCCACTATGTTTTCACGATTCGAAGTTGATCGGCACATGGGATAGTATTGCACATAATATTATACCAACTCTAACAATTGTAATCTTTAGCATTACTCTTCTTGTACGAGTTCTACTTCAAAATCGTCGGATGCATCAAGTTGTCCAATGGCGAAAACATCGAAAAATGGCAATTCAATTACTGTCGATTTCTATGCTCTATCTTTTCCTTTATATTCCAATTATGTGCATTGATTTGGCAGAACTGTGCTGTATATCTCACGAACTTGGTGGTCATTTTGAACAATATGCACGATTTCTTTCATATTATGTCATATTTCTTCTTCCATTTGTCTGTCTTGTTTCTTTAATGGAAAGCGTATGGCAACTCAAAAACATTTTTCCATGTTGGTATCGATTAACACCAATAATTCATCCTACAATACATTTCATACCAAGACAACCAAACGCAATAGAAATCAACACATAAAATTGTCTGTCGAATGAATTTTTTTTTTCGAATATTGAGTAGGTTTACAATTCCAATAAAATAAAATAATCGAGCTGAAGGAAATATTTTATTGTTCACATTCTAAGAATTTATTGAAAAAGTAGTCAAATCAACTTAAATTATTTCTTTTCTCAAAAATGAAGGTGTCTAGATTTTTTTCTCTGTAAAGTGGTTGAGAATTCATCTACAGGAACAATTAGAGAATATTTATTTTTGATCATCTAAAACTTTAACGTTAAGAGGAATCAAGATGATATATTCCCTCTATGCTTCTTTTCTATACTAATACTGAAGCACTTGCTCGCGATGAAGAATATTATCAAAATGTTCAAATATATCCAATCTTTCATAATGTCACATTTATTCAACAAATACAACGAACACTTGGAATTCATATGAGCAAAGAAGGGTCATTTTTATTCAAAAGTGCAATGAGACAAACTATTTTAGTAAAGTATTCAATATTGTTGCTGTATTTTTATCAATAAAATAAAGTTCATACGAGCATACTACAGTAAATACAAAATCATATCTCGTTCGATACACGACTATAAAAGATCCGCTAATAGTTTTTTCTGAGCGTTGTTTCTAATTGAAGAATAGTAAAGAATAAACAAGAGTTTCATCTGGGACAAGTTGATTAGGGAATTTGACTAACTGCAGCTTTCGATACACATCCACTTGCTATCAGACATTATATCTTTTCCAATGAACTCGACAAGTTACAGAATGTGCTAATAAACCAGAGTCAGACTAAGCTATCACTTTCACAGCTACTATTCAGTCAGTTGTGACCAAAAAACGTAAGATATTATTGTTCATTATCGTTGTTCATGTTTTCAGTTCTAATTAAATAAAGAACCGGACAATAGTCAATGATGAATTGTTGGTGTCTGTGTAATTAAGTATGACTATGGCTGTGTTTTCTCTGTTCCTATACCCACACCTTCATACCATGAAAATAGATCGTTTAACTTTTTGAATGTTTGTCAGTATGACTCATCGATCTTAAACAAGATACAATTTTCTCGGCGAATAATGTTATCAAATCGATTCTATGTTGTTGATTGTCAGTGAGAGTTGAAGTTCTCTTCGAACACAACAGACAAAACCAATCGAAACAGATCGATTCGAAGAGAAAATTATGGTTGAGATATGGAAGTGACTCTTCATTTTTTGTTTGTTCTTTCTGTTCATTTCTGTTTGTCTATTCAAATTTGATCGATTCATCAATGAACGAATCAAAGATTTCCGTAGACAGACAAAAATCGTACTTTGTTTCGAAAGACAAATTTCTCAATCGAAATAAAAGAGACGAATATTGACGAATTCGATACAGATAAATCAGAAATCTTTGTTTTCAAGCTGATGTTTTGACACGAATTCATCTATTGATCATTATGAATCAATTTTATCCGTGAGGAAAATAGTGACTATAAAAGAAAAGAAGAGAAAACCGATTGAGTAAATCGATATCGACGAAGAAAATTCTGTTCAATGATATTTGAGAGATTGACGATCTTCTATGTTATAATTTCTTGTGTTTTTCGATGAACTTGGATCGAAACAGAACTTTATCTTGAACTCCGACTAGATTCGATCGTTCGAACGAACGACGAATTGAAATGAAATCGATCATTGTCCAAGTTTTACTCCAATTTTATAGAAGTCTTTTACTCATCATCTTGAAATTTCTTCCCCTTCAGTCAACATTTCTTTAACACTCGACTTCTATTTATTCTTGCTAAAGTTGTAGATTTATTTGAAAGATTTCTAGAGTAATTGATCACATATTGATCTTGAGTCATTCTGACCGAAAAAAATCATTGGAAAAAACAGAATACGAGACGAAGGAATCAATGATTTTTCTTGTTTGATTGATCATAAACGCGAAATATCTACTGATCCAGAAGATCGATTGGTTTCATAAGCTGATGTTAAAATATTTCTTCAGATCAATTCTAACAGGTCTCAGAATGAATTTATTCTTGACATAAGAGATACGAAAGATTCGAAAAACATTGAAATTTCAGATGAAATTCATTTGTTATGTCGATTTCAGTATTGTGTCGATCTAATTCGTTGTTAACTCTCGATGGCGATGAGATTAAACGATTTTGAGCATCATTGATACAGATTTGATACTGTTCATTAAATGAAAGCAGCTATTGGGTCGTTCAAAACTCACTTTGAATTGTATCATTAATATCTTATGTTTATTTTTGAACACAATAATCTATTATTTTAAACTTATTTTTTGTTATTCTGATCTGAAGATCGTTTAACTTGTGAAAAAACAACACGAATTATGTTTTAGGATGCTTCATTTAACGTTGAATGGCCATATTTGTTCTGAAATCCCTAGATTAACCACCACTGTGAGTCATTGTTTTTAAAAGGCTGTATGCCAAAATGAATTTTTCATTATCTTTATAAAGAGGTTTTGATAATGGTATCAACGAAAGATGAATGTCAGGTGGAGATCTTTTCAATGGAACAAAAGTATCTTTATTGGATGAAAAAAATCCATCAAGACGAATACTACCTTACAAGAAAAAACAATAGAGCAGCTTTCAGCAATTTACATATTACCTTATCACGAAGAGAAACTGATGATATATAATCACATTATCATTGTAAAAATTTTCCAAAGCTTGGGGAGTGAATGTGGATGTAAATGAAGAGGAAGATTTACATCCTTTAAAAAAGCTTTAGAAAATAGAGCTTTAGGTGCGATTCATCAAAAAAGCGATTTGCGAATGGTAAATACGGTGCAATAGATTCCAGGTAAGATAATACCAAAAAGACAAATCATGACTCTCAAGACAGGCGTAACGGATTCTTGGCAAAATAGTCGACTAAAATCGAGTACTAACTATCAGCATTTCGCGAAAATTTTCTTCTTAAACCATCTGATATTAATTGATTACTTTTTGAATAGAAATAGATTCAAATGACACAATTTTTATGGAATTAAAATTTCATTTTAATGGTATGATCGATTAGAATATGATTCGAATATTATATTCAACGCGATAAAATACGCAATTGAAACAAGATGATATTCTATATTAGGTGATTAAAATCTTCCTATAATCGGCAAAAAATAGTGAATTTCAATTGATTTTTTAAGAAAAAATGATCGATTGAAAATCCAATTTTTTTTCCGAAAATTTTCACTTGAATACAATAATTAATATGGGAATATCAGACAATGATGTCATTCGAGAAGACGTTAACTTACATCTTTGAAAGTAAACTACATAGACAAGTTGACTATACATATTCATAGACACATGCAAGTACTTTCACTGGCTCGCAAAATATCGAAAATTGTTGAATTCTTTTAAGGAAAATATCTTTCACGATTGAGACAATCCGAAAAAAAATATGATACATACTCGTGAAAATTTATTTCGATTTGTGCAAATGACTCCACAGAACAGTAGACTGCAGAAAAAAATAAGATGATGCGTGATTACGTTTCTGTGTGAGTTGGCGGGTCAGGTAGGGTCAGAGTAGATATGAGAAGGTAAATCATTTGGATGAAGATCGTCACCCTGCAATCAAATACATCGAACATTCCACACATGTCCACATGTGCAAGCACATCATCGTCCATCTAAACCCATCATCATTCACACCTACACACTCAACAGCAGTGACACCCTCAGTTTTCATCAAATAACACCTTAAGTAGCTGCTAATACTGTCGAGAGTGAGTTTATACCCATTCAAACTGGCATATTGTGATCTGATGCCTATTTCGCTTGACCATTTGATGCAGCTAAGGTGAAACTGGGTCGAAACAGTGGTTTTGGTGCTTGTTTCATTGTTGAAATAGACATTGGCAAAGTATTTGAAATTGAGAAATGTTTTGTCGATATAATATTAGGAAATCTACATTACAACAATGTCCTACATCGATTTGTTAGCATTGATGAATGACATGTGGAATACGATACGCACGGTTTCCTTTGTGCTGACGATAATTTAAACGAATTTCGTATTAAAGATCAGGTCAGACAGATTCTACGATGAATGATTGCCATCGAGGAAACTTTTAATCGAAAAATGAAATTCTATGCATTAGATACTAAATTCGATTCAAAATGGCGTGTGGTTGCTGTAAATAACAAACTTTCTTCACGATACGATCTTTGTGACTTGTCGAAAAAATGCAACATTTTAGTTTGGTTTTGACATGGCTCACAAAAATTGCGATTGCAAAAATTCAAATACTAGACACGTAAAATAGTGTGTTGTTGTACCTACTGTAAGTTCATTAATTATCCTAAGAATTTTAATCATCTATCATTCTTCCTTACTGAGTTCGTACTCTTTCAAATTTGTAGAGAAAAAACTAGTAGGAAAAAGAAGCTTAAGTTCGTCTCTGAATTCAATGTCGCTGCGGTAAATATAGTCAAATACCATTGTTATGGTTGAGTTTAGGTGTGAGTTTTCTCTACATCCGCACCTTACTTTATAAAACGAACAAGAAAGGCATGATAGTATTTGTTTTAATTAGTAGAAGTGATAGAAAAATGAAAATATCTATTTTTCAAGCAACTCTTCATCTAGTTTATTATAATCCGATTGAACTCATTTGAAACTGAAGCTCCAGCTGCTTTAGTTAATGTAATGATTTTTATGGGTACAAAAGTATTTCGACAATCTCCTACTAGCTATTATATTGTTGGTCAATTGCTAACGGATGTGAACGTCTTGCTATTTATGTTTCTTCAAACTATACGCCATCAACATCAATGTTTGTTATTAACATCAACAATAGAGAAAAAGAATTTCTCTACACATCATATCAAATAGTTTGTTCATTTAGTCAAATATAATAATCTAAGCATATAGACTATGAACTATAATGCAATTCACATTTCATCATTTCAAATGACTTTGTAGCAAAAATGGGTTTTGGCATATTTCACACTAACTTTCAGGAAACATTTTTATACGAGAAACTC